CATGATTAAAATCCTAGAGAAGGATGGTGGTAACAATTTCAACCCTCCACATATGGCTAAGAAAAAGTTAGACGGGTTGAGAATTCTCTCTGAATATTTGGAGGTATTAAAGGAAGTCATTGAACATGCTGTGAATTATTTCAACACTCTTTTCATACCAACTTCTGAAACTCAAGTAGATGACATAGAAATGGAGGTGTATGCTGACTAATCAAAGTACGGGTCACCAAACAATCAACGCAGGGACTGCCACACATAACCAGTGAAGAAATATGCAACTAGTGGTAACATATTTGTCATTTTCTATAACTAAGTAGTATATTACTAGGTGTGTTTTGTTTTTTTTTTTTTGGTTCATGTTAACTAGTTATGTGTATTTTGTTAAACATTATATGTATGGTCTAAGGCAGTCATGTATCAGATCTTTTGTGTTAAGTGTTGTGTTAGGAGTATATTTCCTTTAATGTCATGTATGAGGCCTTTTGCAAAACCAATTATCAAATGAATGAAATAGTGTATTGACCTCATAATTGGGTATGTCATTCTCATTGGTTAACTCCATCAAGAAGGGTTTTTTATTTTCACAGTACATGCCGAAGTTGTTACCTCAACAACAATTCATTTCTGAAATTGTTGGAGCAAATCAAACATTGGCATTCCTTTACAATGAAGTCCCTTCATCATTTGGAGTGTTGCTATCATTCAAACATAAAAAGCAGGGACTCAATTCATATAGGCCAACCACCAATACAGACACAAAAGGGATTCAGGTCATATAGGTCTACATATTAGCTATACCCAAGAAAATAAGGGACTCAGTTCTCTCTAATAATGTCATTGAGAACGAACATATTCATATAGCGCAACCATCCATCCAATACTGTTAATAAGTAGACAGAAGTAACATACAAGATCATCATCCATCAATTACATTCCCCAACAGCATATAGAAAGGACAAGTAATCATAGGTAATCAATCAACAACAATTAACCACCAAAGTTCCAAATATGACAAATCAGGGAGTCAACACAAAGACTCATAGAATGAACTTATTATCAGAATCATAAAATAGCAAGAAATTAGGGTTAGATTATAGTTACGTTGCATAATCAGTTGTCAGGAAACAATGCTGGGTGGAACTCCTTCAGGTAAGCCAGATAACTTTCATCAATGTTGTTTATATCAATAGGGTACCCAAATCGAACCCTTTTGTGTCCAGAAAGAGGACCCTTGCTCTGCTGCTTAGCAGGAGCAACTTTAGTAGCCTCAAGCTCAAGTTTAAGAGCAACTGCAGGGGTATCAACAGCGATAGGGGCCTTCCTTTTTAGATTTGGGCCTATGACAAGATAATCAGCCTTTGCAACAACTTCTTTGCCCAGATCTGGCTCACCGACGTTGTCAGCTTCAACTTCCTTGCCTAGATTTGGCTCACCAACCTTCTGCACTTCAACTTCCTTGCCCAGTTCTGCCTTACCAGTCCCCTCCTCCTCATCTGAGTTGTACTCAGACAACTTAGCACCGCTTCTTTTGATGCCTCGAGCGCAAAGAGGTGCGATGAACTGATTTCATTATACTAGTTCCTCGTTCACACCTGTAGCGTTGGTACCTAGTAGGCGGATCCTCGTTCTATTGTTTCTCAACACCTAGATTCTCATAAGAGAAGAGATCAGAAGATTTTTCATTTGGGGAACTCATATTTTTGGAGGAAAGTGTGAAGATATGAGAAACAACAAGTTCGAATTTTGGAGGAGAGAGAGGAGAAGTTGAGGTGAGTGGAAGAAGAGTGTAGAAAGCGAGGAGTGGGGGTGTTGGTGACAGATCTAGGTTAGGGTTTGAAGCTATGGAGTTAATGCAGGTGGTTGAAGGTTGAAGGTTGCAATGAATAATGCAGGTGAGAAGTTGAATCAATTTGGGGGAATTCAGATTAAAAGGAAATGAGTAGGTTGTGGAATCTGATATTTTTTTGGTGGAAATGGTTAGAAAGTAATGTTAGATTAGGATTTTAATAGATTTTAGTTAAGTGTATAAGTATATCTTAATCAATTTATAATAATAAGGGTAGTTTGGTAATTTTGGTATTAAAAACTTTCCAATAAAGGAAAGAAATTTTTTTGTTGCAATTAAAGCTTAGCACCCATTTATAGTAATTGTTGCGATTAACAATTAACTGAGGAAGTTACAAGATTTGAAACCACACCCTTAAGCTTAAATTCTAATATGTTAGCCACTAATCTATTACCATATTACTTGCCGTTCTGTCGAAATAAAATATTAATAAGGATTTTCTATCATGAAAATCATGCAGTACCTCGAGGCATCGCCCGGGCCTACAAAATACTTTATTGATATTAAATTGTGGTTAAATGGTATTGCAAATTTACAGTGATACGAAGTATCAATATACTTCTTCATTGGTAACAATAAATTTTTCGTTGGCATTAAAAATGATATCATCTAAAATTCCAACCACAATTCAATACCAACGAGTGTGCTTTTGAGTCATTCATGAGAATCATGACTCAAATAGAGACTGAGAAATTCTTGTGCAACTTGAGATTGAGCTTTTAAACTTTGAGTTTGGTAGCACGTGACTTGAATTACAAACTCAAAATACTAATAAATCTAAAATTACGTAGTAATAAATAAAACCAGACACTTGAATGACATGTATAATTATTATATCTTACCAATTAATTATTATAGTTTAAGTTACTTCTTTATTATTACTTGTATAAAGATTACATATACTTGTATTAAAATGAAACAAATAAATGATTTTGACATTTTTTCTTTATTAATTTTGCATACTTTAGCTTTAAAAACACACTAAATCATGCAATGCACGCTAAGGGGACTAGACATTAAAAATCACTTACCAAAGTTTGTAGATTAATTAACCACATTTTAAACTTAAGTCTTATATATACTACACACTTGGGCCCTGTTTTTTTTAGCTTCTGGGCAAAGCAGAGTAGGGATCAGTAGAGCAGAGCAGATTTTAGCAGAGAAAAGTAGAGTAGAGCAGATTTTAGCGGAGCATAGCATATTATTATTATTATTATTATTATTATTATTATTATTATTATTACCATCATCATCTTTAAATAATATTTATTATTATTAAATATTAATTATTATTATTATTAACGCATTATTATTATACCACATTATTATTATCACTATTATTATTACCTCATTATTATTATTATTATTATTATTATTATTATTATTATAAAATATTAATTATTATTATTAAATAATAATTATTAGTTATTATTATTAATTTTTAAATATTAATTATTGACATTATTATTGACATTATTATTATTATTATTAAATATTAATTATTTTTATTATTATTAACATTATTATTATTATTAAATATTAATTATTATTATTATTAATTATTAATTATTATTATTATTATTAAATATTAATTATTATTATTGTTAAATATTTAATTATTATTATTATTATTATTATTATTATTATCTTTAAATATTAGTTATTATTATGATTATCATTATTATTATTATTAAATATTAATTATCATTATTATTATTATTATTGTTATTATCATCTTTAATTAATAATTATTATTATAAATATTAGTTATTATTATTAAATATTAAATATTATTATTATTATTAATTATTATTTTTAAGCAGAGCAGAGCAGATTTCAGCAGAGTAGAGCAGCTCAAAAGAACAGGGCTTTGATCATATTGTATGATGAACCTTATCCTACATGAACTCTTCAATTTGTAAACATAACCAATTCATCCACTCTACTTTATAAAGTTCATCCACTCTATTTTGTATAGTATTTTGTACGTGTTATTCTACTATTTTCATAGAGAGGAATTTAGGGGTGTTAGTGTGTTATATAAGATTCGCTCAATATAAGTGATCTCTACTTGATTAAAATGACTAAATATGTTTATATAAGATGTACCAATAAAATTGATTTGAATTTAATTTAATCATAAATCATGTTAGACTTCACTGAAGTTTAATTAGTTTGAATTAAAGTTAAATAACAAAAAAAAGTTTTAAAAGAGCACTATACCCAATCTGTGACAGTTGCAAGGTGTTGTGTCGATGTAAATTGGACAACATTATTGCCAAGTAATAGCTCATGTTTGAAATTTTTTTGGTGGAAAATAGGTTTACGTCAGGCACAATGGCACAAGGCCTACATTTTTTTGAATGCAAGACAATACGTGCATACTTTTCCAAAGCTTAAAGTTTTGTTTTTTTTTTAATTTCAAAATTAGGCTTATAATATCATATCATTGGAAAGTAGAAAGTCTACTTTCCAACCCAATTAACCTCATCAACAATTTTTGTATGTTGGGACAAAGGGTAGAGAGGTGTTCATAATTTGATCCCAGTTTTAGAATAATTCTCATATATCATTTGTTATAAATCAAAATTAGGCTTATGATAGTCACCAGAGGTCTTATTAAAAGACTTATTCAATCGTTTGGAGTTCATATATAACAGTTTAGGTTAATGGATTTTTATAAGTATGTTTTTTAGCATGGTTGACCATTAAAAGACTGTAGGGCAGTAAGCGTTTCAATTAACATTCATGAAATATTTGACTTGTGAGATAGGTATATGAATGTGATCATAATTGAGATTAACATTCATGAAATATTTGACTTGTGACATAGGTATATGAAATGTGATCATAATTGAGATGCATGTATTTGATTGAGATTTTTTTTTTTTTTTTTTTTTTTTTTTGTGTAATTAATGAGTAGGGTAACTTTTTAGGCAATTTAATAGCCTTTTTTTTTTTCTTTTTCTGAAAGATGAAAGCCAAAAACCAAATTAAATACTAATGTACGATACATTTTTAAGTGTCAATAACCCTTAATGACTTAACTTGCAACCTTTCGTCAAAAGTAAAAATAAAATTTTGCAACCTCAAATTTTTTTTTTTTATTATATTGAACAACATATACAATCGAAAGTTTGAAATATCAATTCTATTCTCTGCTTATGAGTGTTTTTTTTTTTAACAATCTACTTATCAGTTTTATGACTATTCTTTTTAATTTTCAATATCCACATAAAGACACAATATTCCTAAATTTAAGCCGAAAACTCACCCTAAATTCATAAATTTCCACATACGAAAACAAAAAAAATTCCAACGAAAAATTCCAAAAAGGCGGTAGTAGGAGAAATTGCATAAAAGTTGTTATTATCAAAACATTAAAATAAAAAAAATATAAAATAAAAAAATTAGAAAAAGTCAAATAAATTGAAAAATAATTTTTTGCACATCGAACAGTCAGCTTCTTCCCCCGACCCCCGGTTGTTAATGCGCAGTGACCGATTTGTTTGCTTTACTTTGCTTAGACTTCTCCCATTTTTCACCCCTTCTCTCACTCAACTTCTCTCCCAATTTTCTCTCTCCTAAAATTCCACTGAACCAAACAACCCCTTAACCTTCTCTTCAACAAAGGTTAGTCTTCTTTTTTGGGTTTTTCTTTTAAATTATTTAATCTTTAGTTAGTGCTAGATTGTTGAATTCTTGTTTTATTGGAATTTATGGTGATCTGGTGTTTTTGCTGATTTTTCTGGGTTTATTTGTTGAATTATGGAAGTTCAGCAAGAAAATGAATTACCCAGAAGAAAAGTGTGCAATTATTTTAGTTTTATAGTGATTTTATCTAGAAGTATGCTTGATTTGACCGTTTAAATGAGGGATTTTTGAGTTAAGTGGGTTATTTAATGTTTTGTTGTTTGAATCAATTGATGTAATTAATGGGTTAATCTGTTTGCAAGATTTTTGATTGAGGTCTATGATTTTTACTTGTTGATTTGACCATTGTTTCTATTGAATTTGTCTTCTGAAGCTGTTTATAGTTATTGGGTTTTGCATGGTGTTTGCATCTTGAAGAAGGAATTATTTTTGTTGTTCATGAGATAGCTACACGCCTACACTTTAATTAGGTGGAAGTGGGAAAAGATTTGGAAAGTAATTTCTAGGATTTATTTGACCTTAAGAGTAAATAAAAATTATGTTGTGATATACTGACATGAATGTGAAATTAGTTGATATGGATGAGATGGATTGGAGAAATGAGGCTTGTTTTGGTTCTCTTACATGGATATGATTGTTTGATTATAAACTCAAACCACTTGTAGAGTGCAAATTCTGAAACGTATATGTTACTGTCTGTTGAATTATGAATGATTTGTACAATGGTGAGATGTGAAAGTACATATTGAAAGTATGATTTTAGATGGATTACATTTTTGGCTTTGGTGATGCAGGGATTGGAGGCTTGTTGCTCGCTGAGAGTTTGACAAACTCGATTGCTCGAGATTGTTGAATGCCACACTCAGTAATGGACAAGAGTATGGATTCTACCCTAATTTTATCATTTAATTGTGTTGCATGACTTTTTCTCTCATTAACTTATTTGAGCCCCTTACAAAAATTTGAATTGTGTACCATTCTTACCTTATCACCGTCGTAGTGGTGTGTTCATTTTTCCACGACTAGTTATACTAAAAGCATTAATATGTACAAATGGTCATAGCCTCATGGGGATGTATTCTTAAAATGTCTCCTTGTTATTTGTGCACATGCATTTACTTGTCAATGTTTGTTGTCTTGTTTGCTGGAGTATATTATCCCACAAACCCCTAACTGAAATGGAGGTGGTGATAATGAGAAAGGAATTAGAATATGTTTTTTTTTTTTTTTTTTTTTGGTTTAATATGGCTGGTGTCACACTACCCTTAGTTTCTTGGATATGTTCTTTCCAAGCCTTCGCTTTCTTTGTGACACTTCACCACATTTCCATATCTCATGATAGTACATTGGGGTCCCTTTCTTCGAAACTATCTATGAGCTGTGTCTTATTTTAGCAAAGGTCAGGATAAATGTAGTTCTTTCTGTTGATTGATAAAAAAAAAAAAAAAAAAAAAAAAAAAAAATGGAAGAATGAGTTTGATATGGGATTAGCTCTTCCAACTAAAATTTCCAGTGATTGCAAATGTGCTGAAAATCTGAGACACTATTTATTGGTCCTTGTGCATAGAGTAGCTTTGTTTTTGTGCATGTTACCTCTTTATTTCTCAACATCTTTGACTCCAGTATGTTTAGTTTTGCCAACTAAAATTTTTAAATCCAGCTATCATCTGAGTTACTCCTCAAGTTGCAAACGCATATTGTGTTAAATATGAATATGTGACTAATGACAACAGATACTCAGTATTTTTTTTTCTGCTGTATCTCTAAATGGTTTAGAGAACTTTGGAGACCTAAAGGATACCTTAGGATGCTATATCTGCTCTTTGACATATACTTTTTGTGAGGATCACGCTAATTTTGTAGGGAGGAAGGATTTTTCCTTGGTCCCCAAAGTCCAAAACAGTTCTCATATAATGATTGAACCTGAGATTGGTAATCCCAGAGGGCTAAACTTGAAGAGATAAATCTGACTACTTTTTTTTTGGTGAAATCTGACTACTTCAATTAGTGAGATGATGAGATCATTTTTATTAGCTTCTAGGCCTTTTGAGACCTGTCTCTGAATACTCCCAACATTTTAGAGGTAACCATCAAGAGTTCTTTATTTGTTTTCTAGATTTAAATTTAGTCAATAAGCTAAGCTTTCACTTTCTATCTTCGGGAGTGCCTGTGTTCACCTAAATAGTGCTCATAACTATTGATTATTCCCTTGGAAAAATTACTGAACTAGATTTCTTTGCGAGACAATTGATTGTTCTCTCTAAGAACAGCTTCACCTCTCGTACTTGTTAACTTTAGACATTCATATTTTGTCCTCATTGTTTTGATTTATTTTGACTGGAATGGAAATAGGGTTCATAAAATCTTTCCTTAAGATGTATTTATGGATTTTGTAGGGCAAGCAAAGGATGTTGCAGAACACGGGAAGACCAAATACACTCTTATCAAAGATGTAGAAGACTACCAGCCTGGACTCTATGAGAAGCGTCTTCCTTGCTTTGGCTGCGGGTTGGGGTGGTTTTCGTAAGCATCTCTATTCACCATTCTTAGTGCTTGTTTGTTTGACATAAAATATTTTTTTTTTATGGTTAGTGGAAATCTGTAAAGTTGTTTGGTTGACAAAAACACACTGAATATGGCTTACCTAGCCCTATGCCTTTAGGCAAGTGGTATTTACCACAGGAAATTCTGATTCCTAAGTCAACCAAACAAATTTCTTACATTGTAGGAAATGAATTTCCCAGGAATTGCATTTTCACTGGAAGTACAATTACTTGTATTCAACCAAATGACCACTTAAGTATTCACCTTTCCTCTAATACTTCTTGCTATCATGATTGTGAAATCTTTCCATGTCCTGTCGTGCAGTTTTCTTTTTGGTTTCCTGTTTCCTCCGATGTGGTTTTACGCAACAATCCTATATTTTGGGAACTACTATCGTAAAGATCCAAGAGAACGAGCTGGCCTTGCTGCTTCCGCAATATTAGTATGTCATCCCCTTTTAATGTGAAATACTGAAAATCCTTTTCCCCCTTTTTACACGTCCTCAATATGTTTATTAACTCTTATTGCAGGCTTTGGGTTGCTCTGTTGTGGTATTAATATTTCTGCTCATTCGGCTATTCTGGTTTGCATCTGCAACAACAATGTAAATACACATTTTTACATAGCAACTGCCATCAAAAGTGGTAGTGAGACAAGTGACAGAATATAGATGCATACACTATAGATGCATACACTAGGTGCAAGATTGACCAAATTTCGGGAAAAACCCTCCCATAAGATAGATGAATCAAAGATAATGATCTTATTAGGCCATTGTATCATACTGTGAAGGATTCACCTAATAAATATTTATACTGTGAAGGTTACTGAGAAAGCAATAGATGATTTGTGTGGATTTGTATAATATACAATTGTTTGACATGTATTTACACACAATTGAGGAATAAAGTGACTGGTGCAGACGTACAGTTCATAATTTGAATAAGTCTTGTATACAACGGGGTATACATTAATATTAGGGTATTGCTATATGTAACCTTTAGGGCTATATATAAGCATTAAATATATTCTTGAAAATCCTATAAAATTAGGAATTTATGACAAAAATACGCGTGCATTAGTGAATTAGTGTTTATATTTTTATGATTTTCTTAATTTATACGATTTTTTAGTGTGTATTTAATGCTTATATGTAGCCCTAAGGGCTATGTATAGCATTTTCCTTAATTTTATTGTAAAACGGTCAGTTTGAGCATAACTTTAACTATTTTTATGTTTATTTTAACCACTTAAAGGGGTAACTTTTAATTTGTCGTTGGTTTGAATTTTATTTTAATGTGTAACTAGGTTAAAATCTCATGCAATGCACGGTTGTTAAATATTTTAGACAACAATATTACAAAATATAAAGTATATAAAAGATATTAAGAGATATTTCATTTGGATATATATGGAATATGATTGTCAAATTGGAGAGAAAATACATAAGGTATAAATAGTTTACTTAAAGACTGTGCAAAAAAAAAAAAAGCGAAAAAGGCGGAAAAAAATTTCACAAGGTAATGACAAGTGTCATGGAAGGATTTGCTTTTAGTATAGGTTAATAGATTTCTTATAAATACGTGATTACATACTATAGAGACTAATATGATTAATCTAATACATTATAAGTTTTTTATAAGATAAAATCTATTAATAGAAAAATAATAACTTTTACAGTATAAAGGGTAACTTTAAATATTTTAACATAACTTTAACCCGTTTTACAATAAATTAATATACACCCGCCTTTTTGGAGAATTTATAGTTAGGTGTTTTTGTATGTACTTGTGGCTTATCAGCTTAATATGAAGAGGCACTACAAACATGATACTACATAGTTACATACTTACATGTGACAAAAATCATGCTCTATATGCTTACTGCTAATTGATATACCTGACTGACCTTACAAATGCGAGAAAGTCTCCACCAATATTTACTCTCATCAATGACAATAATAAGTGTCTATTGGTACTTTTAAACCTCATGTTAGTATAAACATTATACTAACATGAGATTTAAAAGTACCAAGAGTCTTCTTGGTACTTTTAGACCTCATTTTGTATTAACATGAGATTTAAAAATACTTATAGACACTTGTTATTGTCATTAATGACGACAATAATTATTGACAACGTCCACAAATGCTCATTCAACACACTCTCTTTCCATTATTGTCAATTGACCCTAATCCATTAATGGCAAGCTAGGCAAGTAGATAGCATGGACACACACTGTAGCCAATTGGCCATGGTCCATGGATAACTTTTCTATCTCATATATAGACATAGAGTATACTCTTAACGAGGGCGCATTCTTTACCACCAATCTTTAATTATTTACTAGATTAGTGCTCGTGCAATGCACAGTAATAATAATTTTTTTTCATATAATTAATTTGTGATATAACAGAAATATGAGGCGACTCTTGTGGAATAAATAAATGCAACGAATATAAGAAAGATGAAATTAAAAGGCAAAAAATATTAAAACTACAATTGAAAAAGAAAAAATATTATTGTTGATTAGTTGTGTTGAAAATATTAAAAATAGTATACATTATATCACATTAATGATGATTGTTATTCCCAATAAAACCATAGAATATAGATATCGTATGACTTTTTTTACTAATGAATTAATTTAGTTCATTAAAAAAAATGTACTTCCAAAAAATAAGCTAAGTAGAATAATTAAAAAAAAAAAAAAAACTGACATTTTATATTGGATTGGTGGGAAATAAATCTATTTTATTAATAGTTAATAGATTTTTTGAAAAAGAAAAAAATTATAAGTTAGTAAAATTATTACAGAAATATTTAACATAAACTAACTCAATTGTTTTGGTTCATGAGATTTTAAATCAACACCATGAATATAAATTTTTTTTTTTCCATTAAACCCCAATATTGTACAACTATATATATATATATATATATATATATATATATATATATATATATATATATATATATATATGTTAATTTAAATGTTAATATTGTATTTTTGGCTCTGTTGTTTTTATACTCTTTACCATATTCCAACCCTCTAACTAATAGCTTATTCTCCCTTAATTAAAAGGTCTCAAAATCTTGTGTAACTATTTTAAATAAATAGAACACTAAATAAAAAGGAATGCAATTATTATAAACATAATATATAAAATAGGAATAATATTATTATAGTTGTATTATACAAATATTCCAAAAATAAAGATTTTTGCTAAAAGGGGAGAGCGGAGTTTTGGAGGGCAGTACCAAAAAGTGACATGTGTCATTCGTGGTGTCTGTTTTAGTATTATGTTATTGATTATAAAGTATTTTATTTTATTTTTATAATTTTAATACTTTTAATTATATTTGTTTAAATGTATATATACTTCAATAAATTAATTTTTTTTTCCAATAAATTTAAAATTAATAGCATTGTTTGGGGCTAGGTATTTTAAAATAAATTCCATGCCTAAGAAATGAAGTACTGTATATTGTGTAATAACAATAAATGTCATTAAGCTATTGCAATATTTGGAGTTTTAAGCTAGCTAATGCAAAACTGATGTCATTAAAATCTTTATATTAGGTCGAATCTAACAAGGATCTTATGTGATGTTTAACAACACTTATGAATCACAATATGGTATCCCTCTATTTAGTAATATTAGTCCCATTTATAATCTTTTAATTATTAAAAATTAGAGGAAATCTTCTAAATTTCTCTCTATATATAAGAGTATATTGCAGAATAACAATAAATGTCATTAAACTGTTGCAATATTTGGAGTTTTAAGCTAGCTAATGCATAACTGATGTCATTAAAATCCTTACATTAGGTCGAATCGAACAAAAATCTTACATGATATTTATTAACAATACTTACGAATCGCAAAATGGTACTGTAAACAAGAAATAGTGTGCAAATATTATAGAAGTCCAAAACTCCGAGACATTGGTTCGTTCCTCTAATCTGTCTGAAATTATTTTATTTGAACTTATTACATTTTATTTGAACTTATTTTATCTAAAATTATTTTTTATATTGTTTAAACTTATTTTATTATAAATAATTTACATTAAATTAAAAATAAGATAAAACTATAGCCCTAAATATTGTACGAGTAATTTAAAATAAAGAATGGAGGAAGTATTTTCAAATCATATACATCGTATTAACCTTTTTTAATTAAGGTACCAAAAGGAACATACATATACGGATCATGAACATTATTTATAGCATGAATATTCTACAATTCAACCAATAGTGATCATTCTTTATTTCAAAAGATCTATTTAGGTCATTATAAGCTTATAGCAATTCTACAAACTTAGACCTAAAAATTATGCTAGAGAGTGGTAACACCCACTGTTGTGAATGACTAAAAATCAGTATTTCTTAAGTTGATTTTGTTAATTTTGTAAGTAGCACTTAAATTTACAACTTATTAAAATAAAAAAATTAGTCTTCGAATAGATCGGAGATAATTACATAACTTATATTTACCCACTAGGTTAATTACCCAAGAGGCCGAATCTAATACACAACAAATTATTGTTTTGAAAAAAAAAACCTTATATAAGACAAATAGATTAGCCCAAAGAGTGAATCGGGTGAAATACACACCAAAAAAAAAAAAAAAAAAAAAAAAAAATAAAAATTGGACAATATCAATTGTCCTCTGTACATCTCTAATTTCTAGCACTAATTATGAATGCTATGTTGCTGTTTGATAGTTCAAATAACATTATCCTTTCCACTTAAAGTGTAATAGTACAGTCTACCACTACTAAAATTACTGCCTTTCTTAATACCTTTTTACATAATTTTCTAACGCATGAGTTAAAAAGTTTCATAGTAGATTAGCATATCAATTAGCCAAGTACCATTGAAACTTTTTTACCTTGCTAAGTTGTTATGCATATATGTATCATCTTTTTAATTTCATGTGGACTAGTCTACAACTTTACATTCTAGATGATTAATACGAATAGAGGTTGATCATAATTAAGTTGGGACTGGTCACGCTTTTTCCAAAGAAATAAAGTGACTCGTATATATATCAAGCCATTGTATTTTCTTGGCATAGGTTGGGTCTAAAATCGGCCAAAATTAGCCAAAATAAACTAAAATTGAGTTCGGATGACCAGACCTAATATATATATATATATATATATATATATATATATATATATATATATATATATATATATATTTGACAAGGTCAGACCTAATATATTTAGATAAAGTAGGTGTATGGAAGTTTGAAAAAAAAAAAAAGTTAAAGAAAGAATAAAGTGTATCCAAGTTCAATTGGTCGGAAATAACCGAGAGTTGAGACTAGTTGTCTTATTAGCAAGTCTTGTGTGTGGTTAGCCACAGTGTGGCGTTTGTTGAAAAGCATAATCTTTATTAATTAATGTAAGTAATGTCAATTATTCATAAAGATAACCTTATTTGTTCATAAGAATAACTCAATTTATTATAAGAATAAAAGCAAATAAAATAAAAAAAATTAATTATAATAAGTAATTTTTTTTTTCATTTATGTAACCCTATTCTATTGTTTTGACTACTAAAATAATAAATACACTTGTTTATAAGAGCAATCCCACTTTTTATTGCACTAACCCCTCATTTGTCAAATTAAACCCATTTGATTATTCTCCTAACCGCCAAAAATACTCTGCTTATATGTGAAGTGGTCACCCCATCGGCCGCCTCGGTGTGATTGGCTACAATAATATTTGTGTGTCCTAATTGGTTTTAAGATGAAGCCCGAATGGGCTTGTATGCCATAGACTCTTCTTTGGTGTGGCCTTAGATAAGGCTCGATGAAAATTTGTCACCAATATAAAAATACAAAATTTTCTACCCTAATAAGTTCCATGTCCATAGAGAAGTTCATACTTCTTTCTTTTGCCCACCTTTATACTGGCTTCA